TAGAACGTTTTGTATCGCTTGCACATATAGGTGGTACCACTACCCTGCTTATTTCTGCTGTGAAGCAGTAATGCGTTCCGGTGTGAAGGGTCGGGCAGACGCTGTACGGTAAAAACTGAGACCTTAGAACTCATATCTAGTAGGTGGCGGCATTTACGTTGTAGATATCTATGGGTGCAGGTAACCAATTAACACCAGGTAAGCCATGAGCTGGTCACTCATCTAAGCAATAAAAAAAAATTAGAAAATTGCACTTGTAGTGTATATGATCTCTGATATAATAGATATGTAATACAATCGAACCGAATATCAATAACAATTCAATTTAAAAGTAATTAAAATGGTTATTACTTTAATTAAAATGGTCACCCTTTTTGTGATTTTTTTGAAAATGATGTGGAAATGAAATTTAATAATTATTTAATTTCTTTAGGAGGTGGGCAGTGGCTTTGGTTGTGCTCTTGCTATTGCTGATAACTATGAGTAACGATGAGCACTCACTATCAAATCGGCATTATCCTTAACTGCCTACAAAGGAAATAAAAAAAAGTTAAGTCAAATCATAAAATCAACTACAACCCGATAGGATGTCCCTAATTGTAGTGTATCGTATGATCTATGGTTTGCTCGACTCTCTTCTATTCTCTGGTTCTGTTCTGGTTTTCTATTCTAATTATGTACATAATATTATATGTTTTGATTGGCATTTACCTGGTAGAGCTTGCTTTTTAATGTATATCACGTTTATTTACTTTTTTTATTGCTTAGATGGGTGGACGAGCTCACAGCCCACCTGGTGTTAAGTGGTTACTGGAGCTCATAAACATCTACAACGTAAATGCGCCACCCACCTTGAAATATAAGTTCTAAGATCTCAGTATAGTTACAACGGCTGCCCTGCCCTTCAGACCGAAACGCATTACTGCTTCACGGCAGAAATAGGCAGGGCGGTGGTACCTACCCGCGTGGACTCACAAGAGGTCCTACCACCAGTAATAAAACTAGGTACTAGGTCCTAATTTACGTATTACATCTGACTCCCTGGAATTACTGGTTTAAGAGCAGGCCGGTCGAAAACCAAAATGTCTTCCATGGCAAAAAAGTGTGTTTGCAAACATTTAAGGAATGGTTAGGGACAAATCAAAATGAAATGAAAATCAACAATAAAAAATACTACAGTTCATATAATCGAAGTTAAACTTTCATTTCACCAACAATGATCACAAAAGTTGCCTTTTTCTCATTTTTACGCACCGCATAGTACATACACCATTCGCATACAAACTAAATAAAATCAGAAATCAAATACGACCGAAATATTTTAAAAATAATTTTTATAGTGGAACAGTATAATTTTTTTATTATTTACTTTTTACTTATTTACATTAAAATTCGCAAATACAACTGTTATATACATTATTAATTTACACGTAATGTCTTAATGATTTCCTCATGATATTTACAAATTTTAAACTAGATTATCAATCTTATTCAAAGTTCTTTGGTCAATTCTTAGTTTTTAATGAATATTTTATAATTCATGAAGCTATTTATCGGAAGCTACTCGCAAAATTATGACCATAAAAAATTATTACGCTACAATTAATACTAATTTTAGACACTTTGAGTGAGCACCGCTTGATAAACAATAAAAGCTAGCATAATAAACTTTTATATTTTCTTTTAGTTTTCTTTTTTTATTAATAACAGATATTCGACTTTCATATCATAAGAGTGCGTGGTCCTCAGATAACAGCAACGTTTAGTTATTTGCCTAGCGACTAAACAAATAATTAAAAATAAATAATTGATTTTCAGATGTTTTTCTAACACAATATATATTTTTTTATTGCTTATATGGGTGGACGAGCTCACAGCCCACCTGATGTTAAGTGGTTACTGGAGCCCATGGACATCTACAACGTAAATGAGCCACCCACCTTGAGATATAAGTTCTAAGATCTCAGTATAGTTACAACGGCTGCCTCACCCTTCAAACCGAAACGCATTACTGCTTCACGGCAGAAATAGGCAAGGTGGTGGTACCTACCCGCGCGGACTCACAAGAGGTCCTACCACCAGTTGATACCGGATAACAGAATTTCGAATAGTTATGTTCTATGAAATCATAATATAACAAAACAGTTTTATTTATAGCCCAATGAACACTTTTGTTAATTAGGAAAATATGTTTTGATTTTTTTTTTAAATTACATAATAAGGTTTTCTGTTTCAAACGCCGAACTTTTAAATTTTTCTCATTAATTTCACTGTTACTTTTAGCGCAGCTCCGTAGATTATATTTTATAATAAGTATTAAGCTAAACTCATCATATTTTGCGAGTATACCTCATTCTAATTAATAACGAAATTATTAATAATTATTAAAACTGGTAACATTAATGACTAGATACATTTCAAAATGGATTTCAAATGAATACTGTGGTGCTCAAATAGAAAATGAAAAGTCTAGCGCCTTCTAGGTATATTATTTTCTGATAAAGTACTTAAGAAATGCTCAACCAATTTGATTATGTTAATGATTTAAAACTATGACATCATGATGCTAAAATGGACAAAAATAATTATTATAGTCTGCTGTAAAATATTTTTTTGTAAAAAAGCACTTTTTAATGCTAGACGAACTTCTAATAATTCCGATAGTAGAAGTGATATTTTTAAATGCAAAACCTTCGATCCTAAAGGTGCTAAAATTCTAAATAGACATTTAAGTATTTTTAGTTAGTGATATATTTTTAAAGAAACGTAATTATATTGTTTTGAATATACTGTTACAGGAGATTGTTTTAAGGTTTCATCACAACTATTTCCGCCACGAAGTGGTCATGATACGGTTTGATGACTAGGACCGTCGCTATGACCTATGATTTTTTTTATTGCCCTTGTAGGCAGACGAGCATACGGCCTACCCCTACCTGATGGTGAGTGGTTAGCATCGCCCATGGACTTCAGCAATGCCAGGGGCAGAGCCAAGCCGCTGCCTACCGTTAAACTTCATCCTCGTGCCTAATGTAACATGCACTGAACTTCAATAGTGAAAACAAATTTTCGAAACTCTTAAAATGAGCGCTTTGAAACACACAGATTTAAACACTAGTATTACGGAAAAAAGGATCTAAGAGACTTATATTTTTAGAGTAATAGAATATGCAAGAAATGTTATTACTTATACGGTAGTACCACTAACATAAGCTAATTGGTGTTTTGTATAATGTTACTAATTATTAGTTACAGCTTACAGCTATCTATTTTTATATCTTCACTAAGCTTAACTAAACTAAAGCTGTCTAAAAAATTGCAAATTGAAAATTAATTCACTGAATTTAAAAAAAAAACGGATTAATTTCTCAGATTTCGCCTGATTGCCGATGATGGGTAGTGGTTAAAGTATGAAAAGAAGGAATCTTTGGCTTGATTTTAATTACGAATGTAAATAAATGAATAATTATTATTGTTGGTTACAATATAATTTGATAGATTTGATGTAATTTTATCGCTGGATATATTTAAATCTAACCTTATTATCGCTTCAAATCTGCATTCCATACTTAGTCAGTTACGAGGGAATTTGCGTTAAAAATGTGTCCTAAATGATGTTAATTCTATATAAGAGGTCAAAAGCTAGGTTTACTTTGAGAGCTTTTAGAGAGCTTACAAATTCATATAAGAGTACAACGCTCGTTTTACATAAATGGTAGGACATGTTCTTACATGTGCATTAATATTTTGAAACAGTACAATACTGATCAAGTCGAAACAATTCAAAGAAAAAATTTATAACATTTAATTTTGAAATACAAAATTAAATGACTCGGATATTGAACTGAATTCTTGCAAAAGTATTCTACCGCTTTATACATTCACGGTACATGTTGAATGTAATAAGGTTGAAATGTCCTGTTCGTAATTAGATAATGTATTCGAAATATATTCTTCATCATATCCAGCCCCATACATAATTGTATATAGGGTTTTTCAATAGGAACGCTCAACTTTGATAGCTCATAGCGGCCATTTTGGTAAAGCGATGACACAATATATATCGTAACATTTCAGCATGGAACACTACACGCTTGTCCGGCGGTATCTTCGAAGATGCGACAGCAGCCGCGCTCACTGTCAATGGCGACCGATATCACACGATGATAACAAACTTTTTGTGTCCTAGGATAGATGGTATGTATCTCACAAGCACGTAGCTCCAACAGGACGGCGCCACTTGCCATACAGCACGGGAAACTTTAAATTTATTGGAAGAGAAATTCGAGGGCTTCGTCATCTCGCGTGGTAGTGACATCAACTGGCCCCCGAGATGTGACTTAACACTGCTCGACTACTTTCTGTGAGTGAGGCTACGTGAAATCTCAACCATAACCCGCGCTATTCGTGAAATTGAGCCCCATTTAAGCGAAGATGTCATACAAAATTGGTCCACCAGGATACACCACCTACAGCGGAGTCGCGGCGGCCATTTGGCTGAAATTACTTACATATTCTATACTTAATGTCATCGAATACCCTTTAAAATAAAATAAAAATTTTGGCAATATCACTTGAACAGATTTTTAAGCTATTGCATAGATTTTATCGCGGGCCTTGAGCGCGGCGACCGAATCATGAAATTCCGTAACGAAAAAAACCTTACACCCCTCACTCCGCCTACCATGTAGCTCGCGTTCAACACATTCACACGTTGCGCTTGCGTAGTGTTTGTGAATAAGCGCGTGGCGTGACGTCACACTGCATGCGCATCATGAAAAGTCTGCCCATCTCTCTCCCGCGCGGTCTAACTTATGAGTGTTAAGGAGACAGTCAAGGTTTTGCTTTTATTAATGTTTAATATAGAGTGGTCTTGTTTTATTATTGTTTTAATATTAAATTATCATTGTCTAATTATAATTGCTTAAGTTGATAAAAAATGCTATGCAATAGCTTTACCGCGGCAGTTCCCGAGTGCCAAACGATTTTTTTTTTTAAGTTTTAGCCCTCTTATTGAAAAACCCTTTATTTACTACATGTGATATTTTTGCACGGTCAGGTAATTATATCAGGAAGAGTATTGTGATACGTTTATATTATTATTATGACGATGGCTATTAGATAGGTTTCAGAATAATGAGTGTAATTCACTACTTATCGAAACCATCTAATTAGATACTGAGCTCCTATTTTTTCTCTCTATTTATTTTGCAAGATTATTGTTTTTATGTCTATGGAAACTTTACTGGTATTCGCATTGTCTTTCTATATCTATTTCTAATGTTATTAGGTGACTGTTAGTTTTCCTAAATTAATAAAATAATACTGGTTATGTAGATAGTCCTGACAGCTTGAAACGATCAGTTAATAAATGTAAGTATAAATTTATATTAACTAATTTTCATGTCACCGTATTTATTATTAATAATTCACGTGACTTTGAATGTAAAGCAACTTATTTTGACGAAGCCAAACACAAAATAAAAAAAAAACATTTAGAACCAAATTGTTCCCATTACAATTACAATCGTACAGCTAATTTAGTTAATATTCATTTAATATAACATTTTCAATTTTTTTTTACTATAATATATCTATTTACATATTCATAAGTTATTTTTAAGGTAGTAAAACTGAATTTCAGAAATTTCGTAGTGTTTTAGGCACTATTTAGACAGCCATCAATCTTAATGTCTTATACGAAGCTTCACTTAATACTATACTTAGAAAAAAATCTTTTACAATCTACGTGTCAATAGGCAGGTAGTAACAATTCAATTTAATCTAAATTCTAAATAAACTTTGTATACATGGTTCGTAATATAGCCTGTAAAAATGTGGAACCTAAAATCACTTTGAATCATTTCAATAACAATTCAATGTCTTAGATCAAAGTACATACTATCTTATTTCGATGGAGTACAGTTTATTTTCATTACTAAAACTGGGAAATGATACACATACACATATTCCACTTAAATGTAAACACATGTACGTACTTAGACAAGGAACCAACATATAATATATTAGTGAACACTATTATTTAAAAGTGTATATCTATGTATAATGCAGTCTGAATATTTATTACTATACAGCTATATAAATGCGAAACTATGTGAGTACTATTTTTATTTCTTATTTCAAATCCTCGAAAAATTTCCCGCGAATAGATTTTTTTTTAATATGTAGAATTTACGCATAAGGCTTTGCAGTGCAATAAATCGTTTTTTCATTTCACAAAACTTGTATAAACACACCAGACTACAAAACCGTGTTATATGGTTCCCCGAACAATAGTAAACGTAAATAACGTATTATATAACAGCTATGTACCTAAACTAGTTTTGATAATGTACTCAAAATACTCTCTAACGTATTAGCTAAAGCGTTTATTAATAAAGCATCTTGTATAATCACAACAGCGGGTCCATTCCACTTTTATTCCATTATCTAAATAATATCACTAAAGAACAGTCTGGCACTTCCGAAACTTTGGGGAACGGCGAAGAAAACTACGGCTGGCCTTGTCTCGCACCGCGACGTGGTCCGTTAGATTACCGGAAAAATCATAGTACCTTAAGTATAAAAGCATTTGCCCGTAAATGAATTGTTATCAACAGGTTGAGTTTAAAGACTTCGTAAAGTACTTATAGACTAGATGTTCTCTTTGCAGTTAATAAACCCTGTTGTTTTTTTGGGCTTTGCATACTTGCAAATATATCATAATTGAAAGTTCACACTTTATAAAACTCAACACTTTTCTTTTTTTAAATATATTGATCCCATTATCGTTTTCATAAAATCAATATTTGTTGTCCGCGAAATCAGCACTAATCTTACTTAATTCCTGATAAATAAAGTAAAATGATTCTCCCGATAACCTTATTGGGGCGTAGTCATGATAAAGGGGGGGTCAGAGGACGGGCGCCGAGTTTCGTCGAGTTCAGCACAGTAGTTCGGAGTTGGAAGGCGGTACTCAGCTGGGCAAGGGCGGCCGCGTCACTTGAGGAGCAGGGCTTGAAGGTTGCAGCTGGACTGGTGTCGGAGAGTGAGCTGTCGTACTCTCTGGAGCCGAGTGGGTTCGTGCTGACGGCTGCAGCACCGGACTCGGGGGCCAGGGATGTGACGCTGACGGCATTGCTCTGTAATGTCGATTTCAGATTATTATAGACAACTAGCTGGCCCAGAAGACTTCGTAGAGCCTCAATCGATAAATAAAAGGCCTAAACTTTTGTATAAAATAAACTTAAAACAAACAAAAGGAATCCGTCCGACGGGGGGGATATCAAAGGGAAAAAAAAATTGTTATTTTTATTTAATTCTGAGCATCGTCATATTTATCTACTTTTTAAAACTTCTCTGGACTTCCACAAATAATTCAAGACCATAATTAGCCAAATCGGTCTAGCCGCTCTAGAGTTTTAGCGAGACTTACGAACAGCAATTAATTTTTATATATGTACTCGTAATTTATATCAAAGCTAAAGTGAGTGTATACAGGCATTATGAAGATCAGGTTTTTATTTTGCTCTTATCCCTATTTCAAATGGTCAATATTAAGATATCAGTTTCCCTATGTTGCTTCCAGCTCTTGATAGGATTTTTCTCCACCGTGTTTCTTGAGCATGTCAAGTGTTGTCTTTCAAACGAGGTTTTTAAGATTCGTTAACGGTAAGCAGCAGCTAGACTGATCTCTATGAGCAACGATAAAACGGTAGCAAAGCATCATCGAGCAGGCTTACTGGATTTCTGTCTTCGAAGGAAATAAGAATGAGATATGCAAATGAGTTAATTGATGCATTGATAATAACGGAGAACCAAATTAGCCACAAATTCAATATTCACAGAGCTATGGATCAGAGGTATAAAAATATTAACAAAAACTGACCTTGCATAAGGCGTAATAGTTGATGATGGCGGTGTAGGCACAGCGGCAGTGTCTGGATGAAGAAAATTTCTCCTTTGTTCAGCTCTCTCCCAGCATTGTTGTAAACACCTTGCCATAACATCTGGTAAACTATTTACTTGTTCCTGATAAATAAAATTGTAGACTGAAAGATAACTGAAATTATTTCTTTATTTAATTGGACAAGCGGTTACCGCTAAAATATTAGGGAAAGGGCTTAGAAGCCCAACCCTGAAGCGGTGGTCTGATCAGGTAACGCAACAACTAGAATTGCCAGTAAATGAAACTCTTCATCAGGCAATAGCTAGGGTGAGAAATAGAGGGGAGACTTTAGAAGAATCACGATCCTCAACAATGAGAGAACGAATGAGAAGAAGAAGGAAGGGTATTAAACTCTAGCCCAATCAGCGATAATAGTTAACTGGAGTCACTGGTCTCAACGGGGCAGGCAAGTAGGCAGCCGAAGACTTAATTGTATTATGCTGTGGTAGTCATTCTTATCACCAGAACGGATGATTGCATCGCGGCAAAAGAGTTAGATAAGTGTTGTCTGCCCGTGGGTGATCAATTGTGAAATTGTTAAATATTTAAAATTTATCGATTTATAACACGAAATTGTTTTTTAATTGTTGAGCATGTTCGTGAACAAATGTATTATGATTTGTTGCCTCGCTCAATACGATTCCATGGAGCGTCTATACTATATTATATTATACTACATTAACGTTTTACTGGAAAACCTGTTACACTAACAAAAATGCGGTATTAAAATTAAAAAAAAACACAGTATAAACCTGTAACGTTGTTAGTTTTTCTTCTAAACTAGTCAGCCTCTCTTCTATAGTGTCCTGTCTCGTGCTCATATCTGAGACAATCTCATAGACCGTGTTCTGTGTCTGTAACAAAAAGGGGTCCTAATTTCAATGGTTTTGTAGTTCAAACTCCATCGTAGTGTCAAATCATCAGTTTTGTTCAGTCTGTGTTTGTTTGTGTTTAAATTACTATTTCATTGTTCTTTTTTATTTTGGTATGTGTATGTATGTGTGTGTTTGTGTGTGTGATGTCTACTGATTCAAAATTTGGCTAGTCCTCTATTTTTAAACTACATCTAATCCATGCAGGATCTAAAGAAACAGTCGTCCAATTTGGCGCCACTACAACCTCGATATTTAAATGAACGACATGAAAGTAGATTAGAAACATAATTTTAATTAAAATTGATATTTTTATGTAAAGAACCTTTAAGTACGTTGCGAAACTCATGCTTTAAGCATATGCGGTGGTTTGGAAAAAATTTTTAGCGCATGCTAGCATCGATCTCAATTTTCATTAAATAACTCTAATGAATATAGAAAAATTAAATTTCAACGCAGGCTTTTGCTGGAATTGGTTTATTTGAATTTTTAAAAGGCTCCACGTGCTCTCTACCTTTAAATGGATGTGTATAATGAGTAGCATTAGCATAAAATTCACTAATTTAAAGAAATCAACATACCTTTGCCATGTCAGTTATTGTGTTGGCATTGTCCATTAGTTTTCGTTGATCCATCTTCACTTTTCGTAATCTGAAAACCAGTAGTTTATTTGTAGCATTGTATTTTGAAATATGAAAACTTATATTCGTACTACCAATTATGTTTAATTTGGAGTAGATACTATTTAGTGAGGGCTTGGCTCAGATACCTTATTTGAAATATGAAATAAATCTAGTTTAAGATTTTTTTAAATTAATGGTCGGTTTCTAATAAGATCCGGTAAGAGTAATTATCATTTGAGCAACAAAGCTTAGCCGCTTTTAAATGTAAAAAAAAAAAACAAATAAAACAGAAGAAACTAAATTGTAAAGACAGTCAGATAAGAAGACAAAGTATGCGCTCACTTTTATTGGCGTTATATAAACAACCATATATCTAGAGATAGATATAAGATTCATAGATAGAATACAATTACCTTTTTTTTTAAATAGTGGTGTAGGACATGCTTCTTGTTAATTTTTGTTCAAGCGCCAATCAGTTTAAGAATATGCCAAACAAATTGCTAGATCAATGTTAGTCGTAACCAAAAATTAACAATGCTTTTAAGATTTTTAACCTTACTTACGCATAAATAGCTAACAAAAACTTCCTCTGATGCGTCCTCACTCTTCCTGGATGAACTCTTTTTACTAGTCGCGTGTGTTTGTATATTAACCACGTTTCTCGAAGCACGTTAGCCGCTGCGTTTTTCAGCTTGAAACAAAAATTGATTCCCTTCTATAAAGGCTACGCGGGTTTCTATATATTCTTTTGTAGCATTAATAGTATGATAATAATAATTAGCGTAACTAATTGCTTCTTGCAGTTTATTCATGATTTTATTCATAGTGTTTACTAATGGATACATTGGGATGGTGACATGTGATGAGACGAAATAAAAATGAGGTTGGTAAGAAAATGTTAACTATGAATGTAGAAGGATATAGAGGAAGAGGTAGACCTATGAAAAAATGGATGGATTGGGTGAAAGACGATATGGTATATGATAGAGGAGTATGAAAGGAGAAAACATGTTGCGCCGACCCCAGCTAACTGGGAGAAGGGCAGGATAATGATGATGATGATGTTTACTAATGTGCGTGAAATTTTGCTGATAGTTAATAGAATTTGGAATGAAATGAACACTAAATTATGTTAGGGAATACGTCGTTGTAAAATTTTAGCTTAGATAAAATAAATGTAGGTATTGAAAAGACAATTAAACAGGAAAAACTTCTATTGATAAATATAATAATAGATCACAGGATATGAATGAACAATCTGAATCATAGTGGTATCTTATTGACAATAAACTTCTACTTGTAAGTATAACAAGAAAATATTTTATTTACAAGATTAATGACTCAATTCTTCTCGGAACAGCACAAGGAAATATCATTCAATAGCAAAACTGTTAAGAATGTTTAAAATACGTACGAAATTTTATTAAGGTGGGTTCCTAAAGGAGCTGTATACTCAAAACATTGAATTCATTAGCGCATTCGGTCTGGTTGCTAATATCTTACCTTAACAATATCCACTGACTGTCCGAAGCCGACAGTCACCTTACCTTTTTAGTGAGCTGTGTCTCCATCATGAAGTTATGAACGTGCTTCTCCGCTCTAGTTAACTCTAATTTCCTTGAAGCAACCGTCACTAATAATGCAGTACATCCCGCCCCCTGTTAATTAGATTAACAATAACATGTGATGAACTTATATCACAACAATACTTACTCTTTTAGTAAGTTGTGTGTCCATCATGAAGTTATGAACGTGCTTCTCGGCTCTAGTTAATTCTAATTTTCTTGAAACAACCGCGACTAATAACGCTGTGCATCCAGCTCCCTGTTAAGTGAATTTCTTAATGTAAAATGCAAGCGAACGTGTTTAAGCAGTCAAGAAACGTCATTCCAATTAGGCGATTTCGAAGGCTAAAATGAAAAACTAGATTCCTTTAGCTATGTGCTATCGTTTTAGTATTCATGATCAAGAGTAACTGACATATAGGAATGTTCTAGCAAATAATCGGACACGTTAATTCATGTGTCAGTCAATCTTGAAATTTATTTAAAGTTTTTTCTTATAGATTTGAGAACAGCGGAGAATATTAAAATATTTTTTTATTTAATAATCGTATTTATTACTCTTGTGCTAAATAAAATGTATGAGCTTCAGGTAATGAAAGCAGGTAAATTTTAGCATTCTAATTTAAAAAACAAATACTGTGATGCGTTCCTACTTTCACCACCATTATTAAAATTTAGGCATATTAATCAACCAACACAACAGTGTTTTGTTCAATCAGTGCATTTCCATCTAGTGAGTGCACAATAAATTATTACACTTAGGTATTTATTCAGTTTTATTTTTGTATTTAAAAAAAATATATATTTTGAATTTCAGTCTTTAAATTAAGTGCATACAAGTTATGTTTCATAATTTTTACACAGTATTAGGAAAAGTGAGCCATTTTAAACAAACGTATTGTGCAGTTCAGTGAAATATTAAAGTGAAGAGAGAATCTAGAGATAGTAAGGAGAGATGAAGCATTCCATTCTACAATATATAAAGTCTAATTAATAGCTGGCTTTAACAGGGAAATGGACGTTAAATTTAATTAAAATAGAACCGTACTTGTATCAGTGATTAAGGTATTCCGAACATTGTGTTGGCCTGTAAGAACTACTACGAAATTTTATAGACGACACGAATATTCAACCTATTTACGGTGTAGATAACATTGAACGTGATTTTCACAAATTGAGTGTTTATATAAGTACAATAACGCATTCACCACTTAAAAAAAATACACTGTGTTAAGATATTCTGTGAACATTTACATATAACACCGAGACATAGTGAGACTTGACGATATAAATGTGAAGCAACTCAGTGTTAATGTGTGTATATAGTTTGTATATGACGAAGTGTTGACTGACCGCTATGAAAATACTCAATTCCGACAATTAAAACAACACTATGTGATGATCAAATAACAATACAAATTTTATTCTTTAATTTAAAAACATTTTGTGTGAAACCTTAAATAGTCAGTCAACACGATCAGTCGTATATTTTGTTTGTAAGGAACTTACCATAATACCGGTGCTAACAGCGATACCTCTGCCACAATATGTGTTTGGCACTATGTCACCAAAACCAACGGAGAGAAACGTTATAGCTATTAGCCACATCGCATTCAGCAGATTAGCGTGTTCCTCGTCGTGAAACCTGAATTGTTAATAAATTTCAACTGTTTACACTCATTGGCCTAATCTTTGTCGTCGACAACGATTGAGTTGATAGTCGGTATCGAGTGTAATATAACCTATATACCCTTTACACGCAAGCGTTTGATAAATTATAAAGAAAAAAAAAACCAAAAGAGAGGAAATAAAGAAACACCCATGTTGAAGAGTTTGACTTTGATTTAGTTTTACTGTGAAATTGCTTCAAATATCAGTGAATTCATTCTGGACACATAAAATGGCTCACCTTTACCAGCACAATGAAATTCCCTAGACAAGGCAAGTTTAGTAAAAACCATAATTAACAATAACCCTTGCGATGCCTAGATAAAACGTATGGTATTAGAGATCGCATGAAGAATGTTATTGATATCAAGCGAACCGAAAATCCTACTTTATTTATTGATACATACCACCATACCGCAGGTGAGGGTAATGCCACGGCCGCAGTACGTGTTGGGAACTATATCACCGTAGCCGACACAGAGGAACGTAATAGCTGTCAGCCACATTGAGTTTAGCAAATTGGCATGGTCTTCATCATGGAACCTGTGAGCCAAAATGCCCAACAAGAACCAGAAATAACCATTTGTTTAAAAACGTATACTTGATTAAGCTTGGCACAGTCAAGAATAATAATAAATAACTTCAAAGTAATGTAATTCCATTTCAAAGTATCAGAGCTAATTTTTTTGCCATGATAAAGTTAAACAAAATTCCTAAGCACAACAGACATTAAGTTCGAACTAATCTGCCATGCCTATAACTTGGAAATCAAACTTACTACACAGATAATACGTACTAATACCGTATAATAAACATATTGTAATACAACGTGCAGTCTAAACATCAATATTCACTGTTTACCAAATAGCCATGCGTGAATTGATTCTCAGTTTAACTAAGGTACAGATAATCATGACAACAAAGAGAAACACTTGGAAGAAATATTGGAGAGAAGAGAAGAAAGTGACACACAAGAGTGAGAAAATTTCATAAGCTTTTTAATAATAATTGCTTAAAATAAGTGGAAGATTTAATTTGTTTTGATGCATGGTTAAATGGAGTGAGATGACTTTGTGCAACAATGATCTCAAGTTTTTAAGCTTTTCTAAATGTTGGTTCTTAGAGCCATTTTTATGCGTGTTTAATAATTTAATAAAGACAACCGTTATTGATCCACTAATTGTCCTTACTAATAGAAGTGTTTTGAATAACTTTACAAACTATTTTGTTTGTGCCATAAAAAATAATTGTTATGTGCCGGCACCATATAAAGCAATGTACCATATAATGTGCAAGTAATAATAATAACTGTTTTAATATTACAACAAGCGTCCTCTTACATTGAATCGTAATTTATTTACTAAATCTAACGTGATTACTAACAGTATTTGATATTATAGAACGTGTATATCTCTGCCAGAATCTACAGAATTTGCGAAAGTAGTCAAAGTCAAACTCTTGTACATTTTTATTGTGATGAAAATGAACCTAGCGTCGCTACATTAATTCCGGATACAAATAACGTTGACATTAAAATAAAACACAGTGGGTTGAAAAAGCCAAAATAAACAATATGTACAACGCCACAGTACAAAAGCAATAGCATGCCCATTGAGGCAATACACGGTGAAATCTTTAAAACAGTGGATACCAAACTAAAGACATGGAAGCCAAATAATTTTCACCATATACAACATAGGAATCGAATGAGTCGACAAGGTACAAATACGAATCAATACAATGAACAAATTCGTTACATGGATGGACCTTCCCGTCCAATATTAAGAACTATGCAAATATTTATTACCTACATCAAAACAACAAGAATACAACTAACCTTTCGCATTGTCGTAATGTCCAGCTTGCGATTATCCAAAGTGACACCATAAATACTAATAATACAGTACCGGGGCAAATTGTCATTAATGTCTTCAAGACGAATCTGCGGAAATTATGAACAAAAAAAATCATGAATTTTGTGATATTCAACAAGTAAATCATACACCTAAATGAATGTTAATAAATAAACTTCAGTATTTTGAAAAAACTTTTCTTCAGAAATAAAAACGATTTTATTATTACTAATATTTTTTTTGCATTAATCAGCAAAATACCTCAGCTTAGAATAATGACTATCAAACCCATCTTAAATTATAGTAAGTTTGTTGTTTCTTATGAACTTTGATAGCTGTGACAGCGACGCTTTTAATTCTTGCATAATTTAGTCGTTACCCAAAATGCCAATAAAACATGAAACCAAAACATTAAAATCTCACCTAGTATTAAAATTAATTCTGTTTAAAGCTCCTATACTTCTGGATGAAGCGTCCGTGAACAATTTACTGTGAAGTAACATGACCCTGCATATAAGATACAGCCTAAAGAACATCGGCAGTGACAACGTGACGTCATAAGGAACCTGCAAAAAATCAAAATTTCAATTTTATCCTTAAAACAAGTAAGGTACCGCCACCAAAAAAAGTATGTATAAAATAAGACATAATTTCAAGTGATGTCAGCTTTAGCTACAGTTTACAGTACAGGTTTCAAAAACAAACACTGTGCTAGTGAGATTTAACTTAATATAACTTTTTGCCCCAAAAGGACTATATTTGTAATCGATACTATAACAGTCTAATCCAGAGTATTCGTTTTGGATCATGCAGATTTTGAATGATTCTTTTAATTTTTGAACATACATTATTTGTTAAGCACGCATTAAAAACCTTCTCACTATTAAGTCAAACATCATAATTAACATATATAAAACATTTTAATGAACACACACTGTCAAACACAAGTGGGAACATGCTTCAGACAAGGACTCTAACATCACTTAAAACTTTGAATACAGACCTGAATTTGCTTATACATCGTGCCCTAAGAAGAAAACTTACATTAGTTAAAATAAAACACCAATCATGCCATAATTGGATCTCTTATTAATTTATATTGTAGTATCATTTATACACAACCAGGCAAAAACCATGTATTTTACAAGCGGCAAAGAGCATATTAACTTTTTGAAGCCATTGCATTTTTCAATATTTAAAAGTAATTATGAATTTATAAGTAATACATTGTTACTTATTAAAAAATGCTCGTAATCTGAGAAAGTCGATTTAAAAGTACACTGAAGCTTGATATAGAATTGTAGAAATATTCTTCAGAGTTTTTTGAAAACTAAATCCGTGTGCGAAATGAAAGCGGAAAGAGAGTTCAGGCTTCACCTAATTCAGCATCAAATCATTCCACTGAGAGTTTCGTGAAATTCATTCAGTAATAAACATGATTACGTGCTGTAGCACATTTTTTAGCTTAGCTTATAACCTGTATATGTCTATCTATACGTCTATATTATATTGGTATCTTTCAACTTCCAACTTTCAACTTCCAACTTCAAGATCCCCGCATAATTTTGGAATTCGAACGCAACAAAGATCGATAACAATACGATAAAATGGCTAAGTTAATTTCTAGTTTGGTTTGTTATTAAAGTGTTTTTAAATAATATTTATTTATTTATTTACTACAAGGAGAACTAACAGCCAACTAACATAGTATAATAATATAACAAATAATAGAAAGAAAAAGCCAATTAAAGGTTCCCCACTTATACTTTACTTATCTTCATTTTTGAACTGTTACAAAAATGCTCCGTCGAACTGATATGGGTCAGTAACAAACTAAAAACAAGTAGTAACATAATGTGATGAAACAGTATGGTAATGCCACTTACAACTTCAACGCCTATCACTCCACCCTTGTTGGCCAACTTTGTCGTCCACGTAAAAGTATATTGTCCAGGGATGGGGTGAACGGCGCATATCGCCAGTTCGAGGCCGATTTGCGCTATCCTTTGCCACGTCATTGCTATCCGCCAGTCGTCGGCGCAGTTGTCTATCATAAATAACTGAAATAAAAGACGATTACAAGACTAAGAAAGCTGGAGCATTGTGATTGATTTAAAAAATAACAGAATAAAAGCGAAAAAAAACTTGTCGGCGAAAAAATAATCATATTTTTGTGGTTTGTGTGTGGTGGTGGTTATGTAATATATTAATATAATTTCAATTTTTAATATGAAAAAAATACTACTTACAGATTTTAATATTATTAGTATTTTAATACTTGTACAGAGCTTATTTACTAGTATCTTAAACTATTTGAATATTACAGCCAATCAGTCTATGACCAAACTTTTTTCAATGATTATGTACATACACGACGGAGTTTAAACATTATTATCAGTGTTTTATGAAAATTCTTTTTTATTTTATTGTGATTTAATTGTAAGGTGATTTTACGGCTCATCCATAAAATACACTCATGAAAAACAACATACGCTTATGAAAATGCAAACTTTTTTAAATGCATTGGGTTTTTTTTTCAAGGGATCTTATTCATCATATATTTTGTTTCTTGGTATAAAACAAATAAAATGGTTTATCGAATTAAATATAATTATTCGTTGGATGCACATTTCATCACTACATAGTATAAAACAAAGTCGCTTTATCTTTCCCTATGTATGCTTAAATCTTTAAAACTACGCAACGGATTTTGAAGCAGTTTTTTTAATAAATAGGGTGATTGAAGAGGAAGGTTTATATGTATAATAGCATCCATTAAATGATGGAGAAATCAATAATAAATTACAGTTTCAGAAGCGAAGCGAGGGCGGGTCGCTAGTTAAAAAATATAATTCACTTACTTGTACTTCTAAAGCGTGATACGCGACGATTAGGCCAAGTAAAATCACAGTCGACATTGATATTAGCGTCTTTAACGCCTGTGAATATATTGATGCCTGAAATTAAAGACCGCAACTCAATTAGCATATTTCTTTAACTTTCTCAGCTGAAGAATGCCCGCTGCTCGATATAGTTCTTCTCCAAAGGTAGCCAATAAGTTTTGTTTATTAAAATTGAACTGTTCTTGAAGAAGTCGAAAACGAATAAAAATTACGGAGAATATCCATAAAAATCACATCAAATTACCTTAGTATAAACACCGGCACTTGAGAGTTCATTTTCTATTACCATAATTATAATTCCAAACATCCCCATTACTAAAGCGTAGTCACTTATCCGTTTTCTTTTTTCAAATAACGCCTTTCTCCTACCTAACCTGAAATTTAAAATGTTAGTTTAGAATTCTATTATTTACTTAAATTTTTATTTTTAAGGCTACAAAATGTAGTTAAAATATTTTGTTCATCATAATAAACAGTATTAAGCTCACTTTTAATGATTTTGCATTCTTTTAGTATTTGGGTCACAAGATTAGAGCTGATAAATATAGGACGGACACATTTTTTATGCCGTCCTGGATCGTTCCCGTTAGATTGATTTAGGATTTAATTGGTCTTCGCCGGGATTGTTCTAAAGTACCGTTAATAGATGTAAACGACGACTTTTTGGTGCGAAATCGAATTTTAAATCCGAACAATCGAAAACAATAAAGTTCGCTTATTTTTTTTTAAATGGTAGTTACATTTAAAAACATGCGTAGGGGGAAGATGCTGTGACTAGAAGATGTATGGAAATAGTAGTGCAAGGTAGAGGGGGAAGAGGTTGACCGAAGAAAATATGGATGGAGTGTGTGAATGACGATATGAGAGGCAGAGAGGAGTGAGTGTTGAGATGACGGCTGATAGAAGAGAATGGAATAGGAAAATTCGCTGTGCCGACCCCGCCCAGTGGGATAAGGTGGAGAAAAAATAAAGTTAAACTTAAATCAGCTTTTTTTAGAAACGCATACGAAAACAATGAATAATCGCCCGGCTCGAGTGAGATTCCCGATCAGAGCCTGTGTCTTTTAGGTGTTTGGTTCAAAGTCTGGATTTCAATGTTATCATTTCATGGGGCATCCATAACACCGAAGATAATCTTGGATTGGGGCCGTTGAATGAGATTCGTATGTATATTTGATCAATAATTGATCCAAATTTATTATCATCATACCGAGGGGTAAACGGGTTGAAAGGTTTAAGAGACATTTTTTTGAACTTTACAGAAGCAAAGTTTACTTTTTCAGCTATTTGAATGGAGTCAACTAAATTGAAGTTCAGTTAAAAATATCGAACTGTATATGCTAAATCCAAATAAAACGCACCCTTAATTACAAATATAAATGTCACGTATGAAGCGGAATGTCGCTTAAATATTTAAAAAAAGTTAATTCGACGCCACTAATCAGATTATCCCCTACAGAGAAGCACTGAGTAGATCAAATAAAATTAATTATTGCATGTAATGTGTGGAATCTGAAATAAGCGATCTGAAGACTTAGAAAATCGATACGACCCTGATGCAAGCTATTTCCGTTCGTTCGAGGACGTATGATGATTTTAAAGCGATTGTACACGATGTATGGAATCTGTTATATGTATGGAAACAATTATGATCTCTAATAAGTTTACTTAAAAATGATTTCGATATGCACTCGACGAATACCTCTTTCAATCTCCTCATAATAATATGAACTAGAGGTCCCGCAGTAGTCGAAATTTGACTATCATTAATTGGAATTGTAAGTTTGTACACTATTTTGATTCTATTTTGTACTTCTATAATCACAAATTTCGCCAAGGCTACTCTATAAAAATTTTTTTATGAAGACAAACAATATTTAATCTATTCTCAATTTGACCACAGACGTCAAGAACAAAAGGTGCCTCAAATACATGGTATGTAGTGTGTGTAATGTTTTCCTTATTAATTAATGTATCTTTTATACATTATTTAAAAAACATATTAGCATTGTGCCCTTCTTCTTTATATTCTCTATAAGTGTGGAAAATTTCATACTCCTCCGTCCGTGCAATTTTCGGAAAAAGGGATACAAAGTTTTTGCTTAACGTATTAATATATAGATTAATAAACATTGGTAGCGAAACATCTTATCATGTGAACGTAGAAACGATTCAACTCCTTGGCATCATTGACATAAATAGAAGACTTAAAAAACTAAGCCATTTGAATTAATATAGTTTTTTGGTGAATGGTAAATTGTAGTGTGAATGCTTTTTCGTAACAAAATACACAAACGTTGTGTTTTTTTCTTAATACAGACAACAAGCAAAGTATCTGTAGAGACATTTTTTTTTAAAACACCCTCTAACGTTGCTGTCAAACCATTATTAAAATGATATAATCGAAGTAATATTCAAAAAATATAACTTATTTTTGGAACGAAGTTCCTTACGGCAGGCTTGGAGGGGATAGGGATTTTGCTGCGCGACCGAACTGAAAAAAATGTGATAGTAAAACCGTAAGAAAAAATCCGTGGAAAAAAGTGCGTGGAAAAAATCCGTGGAAAAAAGTGCGTGGAATAAAACCGTTAAATGAGACGTGCGCAGACGCGACAGTCGTATACACAAGCGAGTAGTGTATAATACCTTTCTCTTTCTCCCTCTTTCTTTTCGTTCTCTCATCCCTTCTCTCTCTATTTTGTAATTATTTCTATTTCTATGTAATTTTATGTTGTCAAACAAAAATAAAGAGACATATTTTGTTATTTTAATTGATAATTTGAATTACGATTTTATTTTTATTTTACGAAATTTATTATTTCCTAAAATACTGAATTTCCTAAATGCTTTCCTGTACTTAAATAAAAACTAATCAGCAAAATTTAAGAGAAAAATCAAGAAAACCAACATAAAATTGAGCACGATTTTTTTTTGCAAATTGTGTCGATTCTACATTAGCCGAAGGAACTTCGTTCCTACCTGGTGTCCCACGACATCACATAATTAGTTTTTAATTATTAATATGTTTATATGTATGTATAGTTATTGAGAAACAATTATAATTATGAGTAAATTCTTGATATAAATCAAATTAAAATGTAGCCTAATGAACATTAAATACCAAACTTCAAACAAAAAAGATTGCTGATGTCCGAGAAAGTGATATTATATGCTAGGGAATATTACATGCAAAGGCATGTAATAAAGTCTCAAAAAGGTCTCATACACAATACGTCAAGTTCGATAATACTGATACGATGATACGAACAGGTCTCGGGTTCTTAGGTTTTGTAAATGATCCATGGGAAGGCTTTTGTTAAGTCATTGTTACAAACGATGTTTTGAATAACATTTTTGCCAACGTATAGAATGATAAGTGGGATCAAGTTAAGTCTTAGAATAGACAAGAGTAAAATATTTTGTTATATCCAAACTAAAATTCTGAAGACAATGCACAATTAGCCTTATAATTGATATTTCCCAGACAATAACCAGTGTAATTTAACCATTAATGGAGGTCTAAGAGATGGAGATTTGATCGTAAAAATTATTACCAATGCTTTTATTTGACGCAAACTACGATTTTTTATTTAATTGATTTTCTGATATTGTACATTGCATTTGAAACATTTCTGAAAGAACTCACAAGAAATTAATCACTAAACTTTATTAAAGAAAAAAATGGCAAAACAAAATTCTATTTAAATAGGTTTGTTCCATGACGAAAAAGGGAGTCAAACGTAGTACGTCATGAGTAAAACGTAAAAATGAAAAATAAAAGGAAGCAGCTTAAGAAGATTCGGTGGTCAATACTCTACAGCATCCGACACAGTAATTTTAGGTTACTGATCATGGTTTAATTTCAGCCGATACAACCACAGCTCCTACACAACACTGTATGGAAGAAATAGCTAAAGGACTTATAGCTACTTTACTAGCGATTACTGAAACCGATAGACGTCATTAGGAAAATACGGTCGAATGAGGTTGAAGTGCCAATTATACTGAAATAATAGTTATATTCATGATTATAGTTATATTAAATAATAGTTTTAGTAATAATGGTTAGTATGAAATAATAGTTAATTTTATGATTAAATTCGAATAGGTTATTATTTTACGACCAAGTAGATGACATGTTGATTTCATCCAGCGAGATATCATATCCGGCAAAGTTATTCAAGATAAGAACTAGGGGGATATATGTACATTTTTATGATTCAAACATTGATACAGTTGCATCGCTTGATGTGAGTACACCGAGCGTCTTATGCTTTAGGCCACGATGACTTCATATAATGTTAATAGTCTCTCGCACTATTTATTAAATGATTACGCGTGGCGAGCTATCTTTATAAAGAGGCACCCCTGATACTGCACGAGTAAATAGATCTAGTACTATTGCCAACTAACCAAAACATAAGCTTAGCAGTAATTCTTTTGTGCTAATTTTTGATAGAATAATTTGAAGTTCTGCTGTGGAGCCGTCTTGTGTTCCGATTTGAAGTTGGGACAACCATTTCATATTAGACCTCATAGGGAGACCTCAATCCTCAGTAAAGACCTCAGTCTCAAGTCTCGGTGTCGGTGGCCAAATTCTACATAGCAAGTAGGACCTGTTCATCCATATTCGCAATAAAAAATACACTTACACCGAAATACCAGTTCTCCGGAGTCCAAACAATATCTATTCATGAAAATAATAGTAATCCTTTCATACATTCTCATCTCTAGAGAATATACCGGATTTGGGCCGAAGATTGACCCTCGGTTTATTATGTTGCTATAGGTTCTTGATAGCCCAAGAGACTTGATCAAAAATGTGCCTTGATATGAACAATATAAGGTCAAGTGAAGTGTTTCATTTTTGCAAGATATATGATAGAGTTTATTATAAAGTATAGTTTTTATTAAAAACGTATGAAGCTAAATAAATAAAACATTTTACATAATTTTTATAATATTTATATTATTTTGCATTGATGTATTTTTGCATGTGTTTGTGTGGTGTCCCATTTGTCATTTGTTTTTTTTTTTTTAATTCTTTACTCTAACTGCTTTTCCAGGTATCGAAATACTGGTTATAATAGCTTTTACATAATTAAATTAATTTACTGTATTGGTTGGACTAGAGGCAACCATACATAATTCAGATAGTAAACTAGGTTTTATTTCTGTTATACTAAATAGTGTCATTTTATGCATTTCTTTGGTAGGTCCGCTGCGCGAAAATTCAAGAAGTCAACTAGACTCGCAACTCGCGCGGTTATAATATTTATATTAAAATGTCTATACGTTCACGACTATTTCTGCTCTAAGTACTCATCATTGACCAATGCAATAGAGATTTAAACCTCACATCTCGTATTTAATATCTGACCTTTCGAATATAGTATAGTTTTCTTTTAGTAGTAACGCACGGTTCCGTGAAAGTAGTTTTAATTCTCTCTAAGACTCGCGAAAGCCGAAGAAAATACGAAACTCATATTTACAATATTGTTTATAGTGTTTATTTTTTATTGCTCAGATACGTGGACGAGCTTACAGCCCACCTGATGTTAAGTGGTTACTGGAGCCCGTAGACATCAACAACGTAAATGCGCCAACCTTGAGATATACGTTCTAAGATCTCAGTATAGTTACAACGGCTGCACCACCCTTCTAACCGAAACGCATTACTGCTTCACGGCAGAAATAGGCAGGCTGGTGGTACCTACCCGTGTCGACTCACAAGAGGTCTTACCACCAGTAAAAACCACCAATGTAGATACAGTGGCCTGCTATTACAGTGGTATATGCATATCGTCGCTTTCAAACCAAAATCTGCTATGTGCAAAAACTGTATTTTGACTTAAAGAGTAAAAACATTTTCGTATAAAATTTTATATGAAAGTGAATTTTTAAGAACTATATCAAATGAAAGCTATAGGTAAATATTAAAGCTATAGGCACATAAAAGTTTTTTTTTGAGGTGTTGTGGTGCATAGCAGATTTTGGTTTGACAACGACGATATGCAGTATCTATATATTAATACGTGAAGGAAAAACTTTGTATCCCTTTTTACGAAAATTGCGCGGACAGAGGAGTATGAAATTTCCCACACAGATAGAGAATATAGAGGAGTGCCAAATGCTAATATTTTTTTAAATGATGCCTAAAAAATACATTAAATCAATAAAAAAAACATTACACACACTACCATGTATTTGACGCACACACGCATGCATACTATTTATTTATTGTCAAACTTTTGTTCTTGACGTCTGTGGTTATATTAGTCATGAACTTATTAAGATGGAAGTTATTTGTGAAGGAAATTTATTAATATATTCCTTTTAATACTGTATAAACTATTATATGTATATATGTATGTGTGTATATATGTATGTATTTTTTTTTTGTGTATGTATTTGTAACTTAAAATAAATTTCATTGCACCTACCACTATTTACTCTGCACTACCTTTGGTTGACTGGTAGAGAATGCCTTAGGCATTAAGTCCGCCAATGTAAATTTTACATGAAGTTTTATAAATAAATAAATAAATTGAGAATAGATTAAATATTGTTTGTCTTTATTAATATTTTTCTATAGTTAGTCTTGACGAAATTTGTGATTATAGAAGTATAATAGTCTTTGAAAATAGAATCATAATAGTGTACGAACTTATAATTTTAATTAATTATAGTCGAATTTCGATTACCGGGCGACGTTCGTTTTAATGCATCAATGTTACACTAACCTATATCCTATGTTGGGTTTGTGCTTGGCTGTCCCTCCGCCTTTGTACGTGCCGCCGCCCAGAGCCCGTTCTTCTCCGAAGCGTGGATACTCGCTGTGAACGCCAACTAGAGCTACGCCTGCCTCCTCCCCGCTCGCGTCCCGCCCCCCGCCGGAGTAAGCCTTCATCGCACCCGGGATCGAGAGTGTCGACACCGGCTTTCGCAGCTGAAATACACCGAAGTATTCTGTCAGTGCGGATCCTAAGCTTAATCCGTTTGCAATTCGGTAGGCTGTAATTGCAGCGGCAGGCAGCGGCTTGGCTCTGCCCCTGGCATTGCTGAAGTCCATGGGCGACGGTAACCACTCACCATCAGGTGGGCCGTATGCTCGTCTGTCTACAAAAGCAATAAAATAAAATATAATATCTCTTTTTGCAATTCGTTTGCAATTCTTAAGGTGGGTGGCGCATTTACGTTGTAGATGTCTATGGGCTCCAGTAACCACTTAACACCAGGTGGGGTGTAAGCTCGTCCACCCATCTAAGCAATGAAAAAAAAATAAAAAAAAAACTACCTTCAAGAACGTATTCTGGCTTTTCGATTATTAACATGAGGATTTACGATCAATATTTCACAAATTATCTTGTTCGTAACATTAATGATCTATTTACAAACTTCAGGTACAATTTCAACAACATTAAAGGATAATTATATTGCTTCAATTAAGTAAAAATTGAGCGGTAGATTAAGATAATGCTTATTAAATCGCATTTAATAGTGTTTTTGAAAAATATTCAACACGGTTTTACACACACACACATATTACGATATAATTTTGATTTTTAATTGAGACTTTGATCTCTTGCCTCTAGTGGGCTGGTGATAATCACGTTGCAATAATTATAAATTCCGGTAACCACTTAATTATCAGATGAACTTTGAGATAGAAGAAAGTATTTGTCTAATGTGCTTTAATTTCGCTTGATATATCAATGTCGGATTCAAATAACACTAGCAAGTAACTTATCTGTAGCTACTTAGATACACAGAAAAAAATTAAACTATTCTGGTCTTATCGTTAAAAATGTGGTATTTTCAAATTTTTATAGTAGCAAGTATACATATAGCAATAAAGCTTAATTTAGCTTATCAAGAAAACAGCTTCAGAAATCTTAAGTTCCATAAATCGACAATACATTCTTTTTGTATTTCTCTTCGATTTTCCGCCTCCCGGTCAAACACAAAGAAAGCGTAAGTAAGTAAGGACCGATCCTTAACCAATATCGTTAAATTCTGCTGTCCTACGTGTAGCGAATCTCTAAGTTGTATTATGTAACACATCACGTACCGGAGCGAAGAAAAACGATTAAGTTCAAGTTATAGCTTATAGTCGTATCTGCTGATTCACTTATCTATCGATCACGTTGCCTTAGTAATAGATACTTAGTAATGTTACCTATGTGTTTATAACTTGTTATATGAAAGTTGATTTTGAAAACAAAATTTGTTAGTTTTATTAATTTTTTTCTCCTACCTACGCCGAAAGTTCGGTTTTCCTCCCGCAGTACAGGGAAGAAAGTCTAAGTTTTCCTTCCTGGGTACTGACAAGTGCGCATGCGCGTTAGTGTCTACGTCTGCTCTCACGCACCTAAAATTCTCCGCCATTATCCGGTTCTTATTTAATTAGTAGTAGTTTATTTAAACATTAAAATACAGTTAAATTGCAAAAAATTTAAAAAAAACATTTTACACGCGGGACGAAATGTCCAACTTTTCTCCCTTGGTGCACAATGTCGTAATCATACAACTTGTAATGTGTTCTGGTTTGAACTGTTGGTTTGGAATGCTTTGCGTTCTGCTTTGAAGGTTGGGGCAGCCGTTGTAGTGTATTGCAGAGCTGAGTGGTCTTTAGGTTCCTTTTCCACTTAACACCACCTCAAGTGAACCGTGAGCTCGTTTACTCAATATTAATATCTAAACAATAAAAAATAATCCTTAAATGAATTTTGTTGTCCCTGAATTAACAGATATACGTCTGAAATGCTAAAGCATATAGTTTAAAAATATTTATGCCCTCTTATCTTCCCTCTAAATATTAAATATATATTTCAAAATAAATTTATTAGATAGATAAAAAGCTTAAAACAAAAAATAAATGCATGCCACTAAGATATAGCCCATAAAATGTAATTAGACTATTACGGAGATCAGGCCAGACATTAAAAGCTCCTTAAGTTTCTCTTAAACTGGAAGCAACTTATCTCGAATGTGCGGCAAAATTAAAATTAGTTAAAAGCATGCGTCGAGCTTTTAAAAGTTAAGATTATACTAAGGAGTATCCGGAACGTGGACTCTTTAATAAAAACGAGAATTATGTTTAATATTAAAAGTTTACTTATAAAGTGCACAAATGGAAGTAAGATTTTTATCTCTATATATAAAAATGAATTGCTGTTCGTTAGTCTCGCTAAAACTCGAGAACGGCTGGACCGATTTGGCTAATTTTGGTCTTGAATTATTTGTGGAAGTACAGAGAAGGTTTAAAAGGTAGATAAATATGAAAATGATCGGAATTAAATAAAAATATAATAACAATTTTGTTTTTCCTTTGATGTGTCCCCCGTCGGACGGATTCATTTTGTTTGTTTTAAGTTTATTTTATGCAAAAGTTTAGGTCTTTTATTTATCGATTGAGGCACTACGAAGTCTGCCGGGTCAGCTAGTAATTTATATTTATCGCGTTCAGAATGTGGGTCTTAATATGAGATCCTGGTTTCTTTGGTGATTTCTAGGTAGATATTGAGTAATTGTGGATTACAAACTCCTTAGATCCGTTAACGAGTCCCAAGGGCCGGGAAATGCCCATGTTTTCCCATGGGTGATTCCGGAATGCGTCCCTTGGTTCAAAATTTACGCTCACTATACGCCTCTATGATCCTCGTATATTAATTTGAGAATTTTATTGAACAAAATGATTTAAAGCTATGGATATTTTAGGACAAACTAAATTCTACATTAAGTCCAACGCTGAAACACTATGATAAGTACGGTAAGACATCTTTTGTCTGTAAATTTAAATGAAAACTTAAGTCTTGAGAATTGATGATACAAGTTTCGCAAAACAATTTTATATAATTAAGTAAAGGCTTAGGACTAAATGGTATAGGAAAAGTAGCGAGTGATAGGTATGTAGGCATTACAATGCAATTTCAAAGTAAAATATACTTTGAAAGATATAAATACGTTTTAGGGAAAAATGGAAGAGAAACATGTCACACATTCATAAGTTATACTAACATTAAAATTCATCCGAAAAGCCGTCCTTTAGCCCAATGCCACCAATATTACCGAATAGAACTGCGGTATCACGTCGGCACTTGGACCGAAGTTGGGCGTTCCTCTGTAATGGCACAATTCGTATAAAGTATCGTCTCAGACCTTGCAGGCTTGTATGGAACCCTTTGGGTAGCGCTCTGGACGTAAAACCTCAAATTCGTTGGGTTTTCAATTAGATTCGTTGTCTCTAAAAGCAAGTAAGCCAAGAAAACTATTTCAGTTGGATGAAACTGAAATTTTACTAGTGTTTTATTACTTTCTTGAGATGAGGGTCAGAAATTGCTAAACGGAATCAATGTCTTTTTAAATTCGGCTGTTTTCTTTGCTGCACACTTTTAAATTATTAAGAAGAAAATTGTATATTATTAACGGATGTTATAATTATTAACGGACAGTATATTGCACACCCACTGTGAAGCAGTTTTGTGTCCTGGTTTCTATTTAATACAGCGATTGTACCAAATACCAACTTCACCTTTGAGGTGCACACCAACATCCAATTTATAATGACTATGAGCTTATAGTATACTAATATACCGGCATAAACCATGACATCTGTCTAAACATGCCAACACTAAAAATCCACATCCATTAGTGACCATTAATAAAAAATAGCTGCAGTAGGCAGCGGCTTGGCTCTTCCCCTGGCATTGCTGAAGTCCATGGGCCACGGCAACCACTCACCATCAGGTGGGCCGTATGCTCGACTGCCTACAAGGACAATAAAAAAAAATTATAAGTGATTTGGAATCATGGGTTCACAAAGAAGTAGGAGCAAAATTTACGGCTTAATTTTTATTTTATTTTTTATTGCTTAGATGGTTGGACGAGCTCACAGCCCACCTGGTGTTAAGTGGTTATTGGAGCCCATAGACATCCACAACGTAAATGCGCCACCCACCTTGAGATATAAGTTCTAAGGTCTCAAGTATAGTTACAGCGACTGCCACACCCTTCAAACTGAAACGCATTACTGCTTTACGGCAGAAATAGGCAGGGTGGTGGTACCCACCCGCGCGGACTCACAAGAGGTCCTACCATCAGTAAGTAAAAGTACCACCAGTAAAAGTACCACTAGTAAAAGACTTACAGTCACATATTAATTTTAATATAGGACTATTATTATTGTACTCTTGGCTACGTTTCTCCAGTCAATATCAACGTAGCATGTCTGTTTTAATAAATCGCTGTTTTATTAACTTGACAGATCAGATTCTAATCTTGACAGGCACAAGAATTTATTGATGATAGCTATCGGCGTTCTACCATAATATCTATCGCACGTGACATTAGGTTGATTAATCATCATAAATGCAAAACAAAGATCCCTATAGCTATGTAGTGTATATAGCACTTTATTTTTACGACTTTGAAATGATTAAAAAAACACAGTTTTGCTTGTTAGCCGACTTCAAAAAGGATGTAATTCTCAATTCGACTGTTTTATATTTGTATACCATGTGATGATTATTTTCTATTTCAAACTTTTAAACTTTATCAAGTTCTGATCAGGACTTTAGTTGTCCTTATTAAAGCATATTTTGATAATTTTACTTTGATGATACTCTCAGTTTATTTTGTTGAATTGAAGACTATTTTATTTTTTGTTCTAATTTGTGTTTTTTTTGTTTGTTTTGTTTTTTTGTTTGTTTATTTAATGTAATTAAATGAAGAACAAAACGTTTTTTTAAATCAGGAGCATTATAACGTAATCAATATTACTCGTACTTTTCGATTTGTTGAATCTACTTGTGGTCTTGTAGTACTTCAGTGAAATGCTTTTTCTGTCTTTTTTAATAAATAGTTAATAAATCAATATAAAATCTTTAAGTAGGTCAGAATTTTCGCTTAATGTATTTTTAGCACGAATGAAAGGTCAGCAGAAAGGCT